CAGTTAACGGGGTAATTTGCTTGACCATGTGATAGTTACTGGCTACTAATGGTGCATAACCTAAACCAAAGATTATAAAACCTATCCATAAACTGATCAGGGACCTATTAGTAAATAGTAATGCTATTTGTGCTAATGCCATTAACAGTAAACCAATTAATATTATATATTTGGGGGCTATATATCTGGATAGGGGTATAGCCAGTGCATGGCTGATAGCACCGGCAGTTGAGATACCGGTGTTAAAGTTTGTTACATACGAGGGGCTGACATGTAGTTCCGATTTCTGTGCAAATTCTGACATATTATTAATGGTTGCGTTGTTTGCGCCGTTTATCATAGCGTTTAACGCCGAGCACAGGCAGATCAGCACAAGTATGCGTTTTGTGGGCATTAGTTGCGTTTTGAAACGATATTTTAAATTATGCCAATATTTTTGAAATATGTTCATGGTACTTTTGTCATCATTTGTCTCCGGAGTGCCCACATTTGCCACCAGAATATTCTGTGGGATATGTGTACGGAATAAATACACAGAACCTATGATTAGCGCAAAGATTCCGATTATTATGCCTATTATGGCAAAAGGTATAGCGAGTCTCGATTGAATCACCATGATCATATCGTAGTTAAGATTATTATCAGTGCTACTTGAGTTATCAGGTAGAAATGGGTTTAGTATTTGAGGGGCGACTATACCGGCTATACTTGTCGTGAATTCAAGCGCCTGTAGGTATGGCCCGCACTCCTGACCCCATATCTGTGGTATCCATACTATGAATAGTAGGCCAATACCGTTGCTACCGGTGCCGTAGATAACCATTAATAAGTATAATAAGTTAATTACTACTAAATCAGGTATGAGTGCCACTGATATAGCCGTTAGTATTAAGCATATCATGGATGCAATGGATTTGTTTATGTGTCGGAAACCCAGGACTAAATTGTTTAAAAATAATTATAATTATAATTTAATATTAGAAATAAGAGAGAGAGAGAGGTGGGGAGCGTATGATCGCAGAGGACTTACAGCGAGACGTAGTGATGGACTGTTATCTGACAGTCGGTGCTAATTATACTCGTATTCAGAGAAAACTCGCGGATAACANAGAGAGAGAGAGAGAGAGAGAGAGAGAGAGAGAAAGAGCTTTAACAGAAATAAGCATGCAAAATTCCCAATTAATCTATAATAGTTAAATTATATTAGTTATACATTCAAAATTAATTACAGTTTAACAATTTAAAATTAGTTTTAGTAATCTTAAAATAAGAGCATAGTTATTTGTTATAATAAGTGTGATATATAGTAGTAAGTATCGGTAGTTAATTTTTAAAATTAATATTAACGTATTAACCTACTTCTATTTACTTAATAATAATAAATTTAAAATCATTAATTTATAACCTACCTACACAGCCCACAGAGCCAACTACTTTATAAGTACTGCAAATTGTTATACGTTGATATTGAACCTGGTATATAGTGGCAAGTGTCGGGTACGTGGGTGATATCATATTATCAGGGAGTTTCTATTTATATAATTAACCATTAATTTTATGAATACATTTTGAAGCATGAGAAAATATTAATACATACCGCGACAAAATTGGTGATACATATAACTATTGTTAAACCATGTTTCCAATGTTTAAATAATTTTGGCAACATGGTTGTTTTTGGGTGTTTTTGTATTGTTATACACTAATAAATGTTAAGTTATATGGTAAGAATTTAGCTATGTAATTAACACAAACAAAATATAAGTTTTTATAACTGACATAAGTAGGAATTGCATTAATGACTCAGCATGCTATAATATATTAATATCATCGGTAATAGGTATTAAAATGTTATATAATAATTTTGTTTTGTACAGGCATATAAATAATTTATAATAAGTAATATATTGTTGTTTACATTAGTACAGTATGACTAGTAGTACATTAGTACATGGGTTCCTAGTATTGCAAATATTATAAATATGATTAATCATTAATAATGTGTATTCGTGAAATTAACTTTATATACCAATACAGTAAATTGTAAAATTAGTAAAAATAAAATATAACAAATATCTAAAATATAATTTAAACTGTAAATAAAACTGTACATTTTATATTTTAATAAAAAATTTTGTTCAACTTTTAATAAAATTGTTTAAAATACGAAATATATAGATATACTCTATAATAAAATATTTTAGTAATCTATTCATTTGGAATCAATGCTTTGAGAAATTGTTATTATAATTATTATTATTATTAAATTAAATAAGTTTTATAAAAAAAATTTAGTAATAATTATATAAATTATTTTTCTTATCATTAGTTATAATATAAATATAATAGATTTATCAAAAAATTAAAACATTATTGGATACAAATTTCATATACGAAATACTTTCTGAATAAAGACTTAAACCATTTATAATAATCATTTCATTTCAGTTAATATTTAATAAAATATTTTTTCAAAAATACAGTTTTAATCATAAGTTTTTACTGAATGTTGAGCATTTAAAAACATTAATTTATTAAATCTTTTTATGAACCAATTTCTCAATAATTTGCGGCAGTTTTGCGATACTATTATCCGATTGTATTCTCGACGATATTTTTCGCAGTTTTTCATTCAATTCAATATTATTTAATAAACTTTCAATTGCTGTCAATAACTCCCGTTCCGTACACTCGTGTGGATTCAGGCGTAATCCCAAACCCTTTTCCTGAAGTCTCTGTGCGTTATCCCATTGATCGCCAAACAGGGGTAACACTAACATAGGTTTCCCGAAGTAAAAGGTTTCGGTGATAGTGTTGTTCCCTCCATGGGTTACAACCAAATCAACTAACGGTAGGACTTGTATTTGGGGAACAGTAGGCGCGCCCCACATGTTATCCGCCAACTCGTACAGCCTATGTCCGGGTCCTTTAGACACAATGAACCGGTGCTTAGATTTGGACAAAATAGTCACTAATCTCTTCATGAGCTCCACGTCCGCCCCACCCATCGATCCCAACGAAAAGTACACCAATTTTCCCGGTCTGTCCCTCAACGGCACCGGTATCTCAAACGTCAGGTCCTTTGCCGTACGCTTAAGGTTATCGAATTGACACCAATTGGGAGGTAAGGGCCGGATGTCTGTGTAGTCCAACTCCCGGGGAAAGCCGTATATATTAAGATAGGGCGAGAAGTTTAGGTATTTGTATTTCTTGAGGGGTTTGACCCCTTTGGAGGTGCAGTAGGCGTTCCAGTACTCCCAGGTCTCAAGTGAGGCCTCGTTGACGGCCTCCCGGAAGGCTTTCCACTCGCTTTTAGGTCCCGAAGCAGGCAAACCTATTGTGAATAAAATTGTAACAAAATATAAGATTGAAATTATTATATTCTTAACCTTATTGATAAAATTTACAATAAACAAGCTCTATTTAATTTTAAAAAATATTTAAGTTTTTAAAATTAGAAATTTATTAAACATATACCAATTGCTTTTTGTACAGTTTGTAGACTTAAGTAATTTTTAATTTTTTAAAAAATTATTAATAAAAAAACTGCTTCATACTCCAAAATTTATATTTTAAATTCAACCAAGTAAAATAAACCATAATTATGTACAATATGTACAGTTTGATAAACTTTTTAAAATACAATTTTTTTGCTTTTTTAAATTTATATAATACAATTAAAAAGTTAAATAAATAAGTTATTTTTAAAGGTCTATTTTGTGAACAAGTTTGATTGATTAATGCTAAAAATACTATTAATCCAGGCTTAAAATTGATTTTTTTTAATATTCCGGATGTCATCTCTCTCAAAAATATTTTTAAAAATTTTATACATTACTAAAACTAAATTATTATTTAAATGTACAGCTTAATGATAATTTAAAATTTAATATTTAACGTAACCAGATTAAAAATAATTTTCTTGTATTGATATTATGATTGAAACTAAAATACTGTATTATTTATATGTATTAATTTTTAAAATTGTAAAATTATTTTCTTATTAACAAGCTTAACTTTAATGTATAATTGCTATTGGTAAAAATTGTTTGCTATTACCGGTATAAAATTCAATTTAATATTAAAATTTTATATAAATATTTTTACAATCATATTAATTTATAATTTAATAAAAAAAACTTAATTAAATAGACTATGTCGCATATATACCAAACTTTAATTTTTTAAATTCAGTATTAACTAAATATTAAAGTAATGCTAGTTGACAGTTTGTTATACACATTAAAACTCAATAAATTAAATGATTATTTATTTTAAAATATAACATTATTATTATACTAACTATTTTACCAAAATAATTTAATTACATTGAACTACTATGTATGTAGTATGTATGTACTATGTACGTACTAGTATATGAGGTTAAAATTATTTTAGTAATTAAGTATCTTAAAAAATTATCATAAAAATAAATTGTCTAAATCTAAATCTATGTACTGCCATTACTTATACTTATAAATAATAATAACTTTTTATAAAACATAACCGTATATTTATTATACAGTTTGTTTTAATTAAAAATAAATTATATATTAAAATAAAGTTTTAAAAATAGATTTAACTAAACATACCTGAGCACCCAGGTGGTGTCAGCTCGTCATCATCCAAAAACACCAGCGGATTGGGACTACACCACCAAACCCACGGTATACCCGCCGTATCAATAGCCGGTACAGTCATGAACTGATCCGTGAATATGACATCCGGTTTAATCTTATTAAGCAAACCCTCGATCACGGGGTTAACCCTTTCGATGTCATCCATTTCCGCTTTATACAGATTCTTGCGCACATTAATAAGCCTGGTCAGTGGCGATAACCCCGTAAACGTACCGGTGCGTTTCATTAGGTTGGCCCAATATAGCGCAGGGTCTTCCCCACCTCCCTCTCCAACCCCTCCAGCGCCCTCTATAGCAGTTTTAGTAGAGGTGTTTGCAGGGGTGTCAGGGTTATCGAGTATACATTCCTGGATACCATATTTTTGTAGTTTACCCGACCATTTATCGCTGATTATAAACATGCAGGTATGACCAGCTTGGATAAGTACCTCTGCTATACCAGTAGCGGCATTCACGTGACCCACGGCATCGGTCGGGTAGAAAAGCACCGTTAGTTTAGTTTTGCTCATTTTGAATGTAAAGTTATACTATTCAAATAATTTTAAATAAATGTTTAGTTATTAGCACTATGTTTGTTATAATATAACATTGAAACTCCAAAAGACACGTTGTATTTATGGGAAAACTATTATCTTATCATGACTATAGTATCATATTTGTACAGTACATAAATAATCTAAACATGGTATTAATGAGCACTTGATAATATTTAATATAGCTTATTCATTTGTGTATATTATTATCTATGTAGTTAATTATGACAGAAAAGTAATTTAAATCGTTTTTCTAACGTATCTATTATATTTAATGTGATATTATTGCAGTATTATTGATTTTATACATTATGCGCAAACCTTGAGTTTGCGGAACATTATTGAGCACTAGGTAACACATACAGGTGCTCGCAAGTCAGTATTAATTAGTGTAAGTTATTTGATAAATTATATTTAATTGGTAATTAAGGTAATTAATTTATAAATTAGTTGTCTAAAATAATTAGACATTTATTAAGCGTTATATTATTACATGTGTTTTTATAAATATATGTTTGGGTACAATTTTATTAGTTTATTTATTATTGATTTTTAACTGAATAGTTTTGAATTAAATAAACAAATTATTTAAAATTATAAAAATAATTATACAGTATATTAAAAACATACTGTATATTATAGTTCATTTTTAAAGTTTTGCATTTAAATTTTATTGTTTGTTATTTTTTTTATAATTTAAAAATTATCGCTGGTGAGGTGGAGTCCAAAATAAATACGACAAAAATACTAATAAAACATTTTTAAATCATTTAACATTCTTACAGTTTAAAAAATAATTTAAAAATAATTGTTCAAAAAATTATAATAGACAGTAGCAAGTTTAAAATAATTAATTTTATTGGTTTTTGGTTTAAACAAATATTTAATATACTAGTCATGATAATAAGAATCAAATATTTTTTCTAGTAACTTACTTTACATATTAAATAAATATTTTACAAAGTTCAATTACAAAAATAATAAATCCAATCGGAATTCCTATCATTAAAGGGCCCAATGCTATTTTAATGTCATCTAAACGCATTAGGTCACCTTGCTCATTATCATCACCGTGATTATATGTACCGTTAAGGTAAGCATATCCATCGCTTAAGTACTTTTGTATACCGGCGCTATGCCATACATCCATAAGCCCTGCCTCGACCATTGATTTAATACTAAAAATTTTAGATAATTTTTAGAATGAACAAGGTACACTATATTAATAAACTTTAATTACATGTTATTAAAGGCCTTGCTAATTACAGTGTCTTTTAAATCTTTATGAACGACCCAACCAGTGCACCGGTAATCATACTGATCCCCCAGTAGGTGTACCCCATAACCTTTACTATTAACCAATTTAGCAAGCTTAGTTAAATGATCACCATTACCGATTAGTACGTGGGTACGTTTGTCACGTACGTCCGATACTATTTGCCAAACTTTATCAAACTTAACACCGTTGGACATTAGTGTGCCTGGTCTATTTAAAATTTTACTTTCTATTGGCCTTGCTGATTCCTATTAAATAAAATTGTAATATGTTAATTAAACATGTTCTAATAATTTTTAAAATACCTTGAGTGTTTTAAATTTAGATGTGGTTAATTGTACGTAAAGTTTTAATTGTGGTCTAGCATCCAGGTCCTCTAACGTATCAATTACTTTGTATGGATTGTGAATATTAATCGACAAAATCATTTGATTGCAAATGTTATGAATGGGAAATTTAGCCAGGAACAAAATAGCAATAACAAATGCATATTTCTTGGTATAATTTGTTAATTTAATTCCTATTTTAAATCTCCATGTTAAAAAATTTATTAATTATATTAATAAAATGAGTAAACACTACCATCCATAACATATGCGTTCAATGTAGTCCATAATTGATTGGTGATCATGGTCACTTTCGAAATCATGCTAAAAAGTTAATTAATTTTCTTAAGTTAAGTATGTATTTTCAATAATTTAAAAAACAATATTTACCAAATATTTTCTGAATTAAAATGTTTGATACTGTCCAGGGACAATAACATTGAACATAACAAGTAAGTTACCACCAAGGATATCCAAAACTATTTTTATATAAAATAAAATGTTAAAATATTATCATTAAAAATAACAATGTCAACAATCCAATTTCATAATTAATAACAAGCTTCAAGTTATAATTTTTTAAAATTAATGCAAGTTACAGTTTGTACGTTGATCATAAATTAACAATGATTTTATAAAAACAATCACTACCTCGGTGCAAATTTGTAACAGTATAATTTCTTATTTTATTTTACCATCATTTTAATATAAATAACAGTTTGTAAGAAATAGTAGAAAATATGAATTTAACCATTTCCTTACATAAAAATTTAGTTGATACTATATAGACATGATATTTATTAAATTATACCTGAAAATCAAACATGTCAATGAGAGCATAAAATGAATTACTCCTGGTGCTCGGATAATAGCCCGATAATATAGCCATATTAGGGTTGACGCGATACACTGTCAGGTCGGCCAACCTGGGCATCCAATGATCGTACGACACAATGTCTAGTCCTATGTCCGCTTTCTAATACAATTATAACACGAATAAAAATATAATAATGAGTATTAAAAACTTACCTATGTAAAAACCAACTCGGTAGTATGCTCAATTTTTATTTTCTGTCCAGGTAATTCAAAAGTATAGTTTGCCATTTTGAATAAAATTGGAATAGCCCTTTAAATCATTAATTTACATATAGTTAAGTTTAGACAATTTTTAAATTATTATTTATTATATATTAAAACATTATTTTTATTGTAATACATATACTTAATTAACAGGTTAAATAAATACCCATAATGAGTCCTTTTGACTAGTTCATATAATAAATTATAATAATAATTGCACA